GACGAAGTTCATTTTAACTCAACATTAGAACCGAGTGTCCAGCGCGAAGTTATGACAGTTATTAAAGAAAATTACGTAGATATTACAAACATTCCGGAAATTCCACATTCTTACGAAATGAGGTTGAAATTGACTTCCGACATCCCCATCAGTTATGGTCCGCGATGTCTTTCGTATGCTGACAGAGTTGAGGTAGATAACATCGTTGAGGGATTACTATCTGCTGGTATAATTCGACCTAGCAATTCTCCGTATTCATTTCCGATTGTCTTGAGGACAAAGAAATCTGGTGAGCGACGAATGTGTATTGATTATAGGTCCTTGAACAAAATAACTGTGCGTGACAGTTATCCTATTTCACTTATTGACGACTGTTTGGAGCGAGTTGAGGGGAAGAAATATTTCTCTGTTTTCGACTTAAAAAATGGATTTCATCAGGTGAGCATGGCCCCAGATTCCGTTCCATTTACTGCTTTCGTGACACCTGGTGGACAATACGAGTACGTCAAAATACCCTTCGGTTTACGCAATGCTCCAGCAGTGTTTCAACGGTTCATCAACATGATGCTAGAATCATTTATAAAAGATGGATCAATTGTGGTTTACATGGACGATGTTACCTTAGCCACTAATACGATTTCCGAGCATTTGGACTTATTAGGACGAGTTCTTAAAAGGTTGGCAGAGTTTCGATTGGAGATAAAAATTAAAAAATGCCAGTTCTGTTTCACATAAATTTAACTTTTGGGTTTTACGGTCAGCAATAAGGGGATCAAACCGAACAAATCACATCCGGAGGCCATTGCCGTCAGATGCCAGACAGATGAGTAAGTGTCTTGGACTATTTCCGTATTTCCGTCGTTTTGTTCCGTCTTTTTCATCTATTTCGTTACCATTACGCAACTTAGTAAAGCCTGGTACTAAGTTTGAGGTTGACGAACAATGCAAACAGGCGTTTATTACATTACGTGATAAGTTAGTTTCTACTCCCGTTTTGGCACTTTACAATCCTTCACGTGAAACCGAATTACATTGTGATGCCAGTTCCGAAGGCTTTGGTGGAATATTGTTGCAGAAACAAGATGATGGCAAGCTACATCCGATTGCTTATTTTTCTAAACGGACAACTTCTGCAGAATCTCGTTACCATAGGTTCGAATTGAAAATATTGGCTATAATTTATTCTTTATACGTAAGTTCCGAATTTACCTAGAGGGTATTCCATCCCGGATTGTTACCGATTGCAATTCCCTAGCTATGACGCTGAACAGAAAAAGTATTAATGCTAAAATTGCTAGATGGGCTTTAGAGTTGGAAAACTATCATTATTCTATTCAACACCGCAATGGCAAGTTTATGAATCACGTTGATGCATTAAGCCGTATTCCCTCAAATTCTGGTCAGGTTGTTTCTGCTGTCAGTCCAGATGATATTGACTTCCAATTGCAATTGGCACAAGGGCGTGACCCAACAATTCTCAAATTAAGAGAACAACTAGAAAAAGGATTAGTTAAGAATTTTGTTTGGAAGCTGTTTACCGGATGCAAAACTTCTGTTTTACGTTCCTTCTGAAATGGAAGGTCATGTTACACGTAACATTCATGAGAAACTGTGTCATATGGGTATTTCGAAAACTTTGGATCAATTGAAAATGCATTATTGGTTTCCGAAAATGAAGGACAAAGTTGAAAATTATATTAAAAACTGTGTCCGTTGTATTAAATATGTATTCTGATTCAAATTCCGATGGGGGTCATGTTTTACATAGCATTCCGAAGAAACCTGTTCCGTTTGATACTATCCACATTGATCATTTTGGACCTCTTCCGTCAATTATGTCTAAAAGGAAACATATCTTGGTTGTTGTTGATGCTTTTACGAAGTTTGTTAAGTTGTATGCTGTAAATTCCACAAGTACGAAAGAGGTGTGTGCCTGTTTGGATAGATACTTCGAATGTTATAGTCGCCCTCGTAGAATTATTAGTGATTAGTGGAATTCGCTATGAATAATTCTGTTCAGTCGAGTACGCATCAAACTCCTTCTGTCCTTCTGTTTGGAGTCCATCAAAGAAGGCGCGAAGTCGATGGTCTGTCTGAATATTTGGAAGATACATAGGTCAAATTCGGAAGTAGTTCGGGATTTAACTACAGTACGTGAAGCTGCTTCTCGTCTTAGCGAAGACTCTCAGAGCAAGAATGCAGCCTCTTTTGATAAAAGACATACAACCCCAAATACTTTCACTGAAGGTGAATACGTTGTAATACGTAATGTTTACACTGCTATTGGGACCAACAAGAAATTTATTCCTAAATATCGAGGGCCTTATCGTATACACAAAGTACTACCAAATGATCGTTACGTAATTCGGGATATTGAGAATTGCCAAATGTCCCAACTTCCTTATGATGGCATAATTGAAGCTGCTCGAATTAAGAGTTTGGCAGATTGGAGGACCCCTTGTAAAGAAGAGATGCACTAATGGACAAAGCAACACTTGTCAAACTTGTGTAGTTTTGTGTTTGTGGGTTTTTGTTTTGTGGGTAATCGTCTTTTATAACTTATGAATGATCGAGACGATCATTGGTCAGGAATGGCCTAGTGTTTTGAGTATTTTGTGTTTGTGTGTTGTATAAAGATTTACGATTTATGGCTAACTGGCAGCACTGTGTTTGAGTTGTCAATCTCTGTGTTCTACAAGTCTGATTGCGCTTCGTTTTCCTGTATGTTTGAGTGTATGTGTGTAAAGTATGAATGTGGAAAGTAGGTATGAAAGCAAGTTAGAAGGAAAGCCAGAGCAATTCGACAGTGAGCATGCATAAGGGCGAATACGCGATGATCGATTCTCTTCATCGATTTTCTCTTTGCATTGCTACAGCTAAGCGAAACAATTTTCTAGAATTTTTTCAATGCAGAGTAGTAACAGGTTGTATTGGCTATCAAAAGCAACAGCAAACGCACCGAGAAACGTTAAATCCAGCGAGTTATTAACAAAAGAGAAAATCGACGAAGAGAATCGACCATCGCGTATAGGCCCTTATGCATGCTCACTGTCGAATTCGACAACCAACACGTTCGGACACGAATAAAAAACCGGAAAAAGTTAAAACCGCGTGTTTTGTTTCGTCATCCTCTCTACACATTAAACAAATTTAGAAAACTTCAGGGATGTCCAGATAAGCTCAGGGAAAATTAGTGATTTAAGGTAAAGTTCCGTGAGCGTTTATAAACTTTATAAAACTTAAGGTTTTCATTGTGGAAACTTCAAGGCAATTCAATTAGTTTCAGTAAAATTGCTAGGTCTTATAAGAAAATACTGAGAAATTCACATAAGTTCAGAATTTCACGCAAGCTTAAGAATTTTTAGGACAGTTCGAATAAATTCAGGGCATTGCAAGAAGTTCATGAGAACTGCATAAAATTTAGAGAAGTTTCGAGAACTTCAGGAAAGAACGGAGCAGTTCCGTTAACTTAAAGTGAAATCACATCATTTTTAAAGAAGTTTCGAGAACTTTAGCAAATTGTTAAAACTTCATGATTGATCCACGATTGTTAGGAAAATTTAGGGAACTTTAGGAAGTCTGAAAAAGTTCAAGGAAGTTTAAAAATTGGATGAGAAGTATTGTGAACTTCAGGCTAGTTCTTCGAACTACAAAAGAACGAGGCAGTTGAATAGCCCAATCCACATTCAACGGAGATTTCTCATGAAAATTCACTTGGTGTTGAAACTCTCATGGCATTATTATAGAAATTCATTTGGAATTCTTCTCTGATTCTATAAAAAATATAACCAGAATATACTTAGAATATTTCTCACAATTCCATTGAAATATTCCTCAAAATTTCGTTGAAACTATTCTCCGAATTCAGTTTTCTTGGAAATTTCCTCTGAATTACTATGAAATTCCCCTCAGTAAGAAAGGGAATGATTCTAAAAATTGTCATTGAATTAATTTCTGAGTTCGCGTTCCATCGTTTTGCAGGAAATCTATAGAATCTTCATCAATCTTCTTTCCATCTACTCATCGCGAGCTCATCCAACGACAGTAAAAAAAATCTTCCCTACATGGAAACATAGAGTCGCCCCCCTGGCTCCTTCCCTTTAAATTCTACTCTCATTGGAAGTTTCATAAGAATTCATTTACATTTCTCCTCACAAATTCCATAGATTTATCCTCATAATTTGTTAAGCAAACTCTCGTGGAATTCTATTCCAAATTCCTTTGAAGAACTCCTGAAGTTATTCTCAGATTTAATTGTAATCCTCTTTTGACAATCCCCTAAGTATTCTCCAAAAATTTCCAATGACTTATGTTCCGGAATCGTTTTCTTCCACAAACTTCATGAACTTATCATCAGAATTCCTTTGGACTTTTCCTCTGACGTTCACAGGAGTTCTACTCCTCAGAAATTCCTATGGTTTTTAATTAAAAATTCAATTCAGGGGTTTCTTGAAATTCTACTAAAAGCTATCTCAGGCTTCACATGAAATCTAAAATTCCTGAGAACTGCCTTGAAAGCAGATTGCACTTGACGTTTTTCTCAAAGATTTTTATCCCAGAACTCCCTTGGAATGAAGTCGTTAAAAATTATAATAATTTTAAAAGTTTTTAAAATTTAAAAATAAACAGTCTAGAGGACCGTTTGTCTGAGCTTTCAAGACTGCTGCTTTGCAATGGGTGTGGGAAGAGTCCGCCCTCTATCCACGAAATGTTAACAGCTCTTCCCGTCCCCACCGTTGAAGCCTAGCTACACCGTCGTCTAATCCTGTGTATGGGCAAAAGCGAACAAGCCGGCACACGCGTTCTTTCATTTGATTTGAAGACACAACCAGCCAGCCCCGTCGATGATAGTATTAAAGGCTGATGAAAGTGAAAGACTCAATAACGTCAACGGAGGGGTATAAAGTTCGGGCGAACGTGTTTGTGCGTCTGGGATTATCAGTATACCTAGTTATGACTTTCGCTAACACGATTGCTTCTTATCTGTTTTTCCCTTGCAGCGCGTGAATCATGGCTCCCGCACAGCATGATGGACTACTTTGGCCAGACGTCATCGATCCGCATAGTGGACATCCTGGTCAAGGTGCAGAATCCACACGACAAGTTCATCCTGGACAAGCTGACCGAATGGATCCGCAGCGGTTCGAACAAGATGCTCGCCCTGACCCTGTTCGGGCACATCATCCAGAAGCGACCGACCTGGCTGCACAAGGTCGGCAAACACCAGCTGGTGAATGAAGTGCTAAAACTGTCCAAGATGGAGAGGGAAATTATTCCGCTGATCAACGCTGTGCTGTGCATCATCGATCTGCTGCCGGTGATTCCGCTGGTCATGGGCATGTTCGTGCAGGACCTATTCGAGATATTCAACTACCTGGCAACGTTCGATCGGAACACTTCCGTCAGTCTGCCCGAGGATCAGCTGATCCATTTGCAGTTTGGTCTGTATGAGCTGTTCAATCGGTTGTACGGAATGTATCCGTGTAACTTCGTGACGTTCCTAAAGCGGGAATACCGAGGAGACAAGCAGGCAGTTTTCCAACATACGATTAAGCCGTTGTTGGACACGGTCAAGATCCATCCCCGGTTGGTGTCGTCGGATAAGGACAGCGAAATCAGTCAGATTCGGTGGAAGAACATGGAACCACACGATGTGGTGAGCGAATGCGCTCGAATGTCGCTGGACTACATGGAAAAGGCGCAGGAAGTTCAGAACCAGACCGTCAGCAGTGAGTGTCCTTGCTACGCGACACCAATCAAACCGGTGGAGTTCAACGCCATGACGGCGACGGTAGATTTCCACTGGAAGGCCACCGTTAACTACTTCAACAAGAGCTCCACCGATGACAAACTCAGCACCATAGCAGTGCAAAATTCGTTCTGGTCGCCGAGTAACATGATGCAACCGACGCCACCGCCAGGTTCGGGAACCGTTCCGCACACTCCCAACCCCACACCGAGCTATACGATTCCTTCGATATCGGGTCCACATCTACCGGCGGCTGACGGTGCTTCCCCACCGGAAGCAGCCGTCGAAGCCACCCCGGAAACCACACCGATGAAGGACATCGTCAAGCCGGTTCGACCGTACCCGGTCAATTCGAGCACGGTTCGAGCAATGTGGAACACCAGCCAACCGTCGTCTCCGATCAAGAAGGAAGCCAACCACTTCAGCTACGAGAAGAGTGTCATCACGTCGCAGAAGCTGCTTCGGATGGTGAACGATCGGAACCACTCGGTGCTGCAGATTACCAACTCCAACAACACAACGGCAACGTCGACTAGTAACAGTGTGCCTTCCAGTCCGCTGCCGATCGATCAACCGGCCTTCGGTAAGCTCTCCGGCACCATTTAAAATTCCATTCCTTCTAAATTACCCTTTACGTTTCCAGAAATTGCCCGCGCGTCGCAGTTGGTATCGAACCTCAAACTCACCCCCGGAGGAACGGTCCTCACCATGAACACCCGCTACGATTCCCCCTCGATCATGCACCAGTCCGACTCGACCCAGGAAGATCAGGAAGTTAACGATATCAACAGCCATCTGCTGCAGGACCAGCAGAACCACCCGCCGCAGCTGAATCCCCAATCCCTGCCAGTCCATCCCATGAAGGAAGCCTTCGATGCGGAGGACTTCGAACTGGAGGAAGGATCACCCTGCTCGGCCGGTGGTTTGCATTTCAAGAACTCCCAGTCGATGATCAACTTCACCCGACATCGGTATCGGATGCATAGTCAGTGTCTGGTGGATTCGGATCCGAGCTACAGTACCGGAACTTCCCCGGCCGATACGAGCAACTATATGTTGAAGAATAGTGTCGGGATCAGTGCCACGCGGAGTGCGGCCGGGGAGGCATTGAAGAGGCGCCAGCGAAGGCACTCGTTGCCGGATTTGAAAAAGTACAGCCTAAGGATAGATCCGAAGACACTGGCCGGGGATAGGCAGGATCTGACGCTGGTGGAAACCAACGGAGATGACAGCAGCAGCGGAAGCAGTCCCTCCGAAGAGGAGGCCATTTCAGCGGCAACACACTTTCACAAGAAGCAAGAGCAAAAGACTGAGGAGCACATTCGTAGAAATATGACGTTGTTCCAGGAGATTCGCAAGAATCTCACTAGCGTGGGTGGCCACAAGGGAGGAACACAGAACGGACCGACGACGGCTTCGCCATTGGTGAGCAGCGGCACGCAAACGATTGAGAACTATCCGCAACCGTACGAGCAGATCATCTACGGTATCCTGCAGGAGGAGCAAAAGTTCAAGACGGATATGGCGATCAAGCGGCTGCAGGAAAAAGGCGAAACCGGAATCCGGATGGATCCGAACGCAATGCTTGACAAGTACATCGAGCTGTGCGTTAAGAAGCGAATGGAAAGTGGCGACCCACGGCGGATAGAAGAACTGTACCGAGATCATATCACCCTATTAAATTTGCAACTACAATACGAGAAGCACCGGCGGGAGATTCACGCCGAACGGAACCGGAGATTGCTGGGAAAGAGCAGGGTGATACGAGCATTGGAACAAAACAATGAAGCACTGAAGGACCAGGTTTCCAGACTGACCAAAGAGATTAGCTCGCTGAATACGGAACTGGCGGGACTGAGGCGGAAGACGAACATGGATTGGACCAAGAGTTCGGCCGAGGTGATCGAGCTGAAGGAGCGCTACGCGGCGGAAACGCGAAAGAACAAGGACCTCCAGGTGAAGATCAAGGAGCTGGAGATGGCCCTGTCGGATGAGTCACGGTCACGGAAGGAACAGACGACGGCTCTCGAGCTGGCACGGGGCGAGTTGTTTGATCTAACGAACGAGATGGAACAGGCACTGCATAAAGCAGATCTGGGACAGCAGTACCGAGATGAGCTGACGCGGTTGCAGTGCGAGATGATTCTGATGGGAGAAATCCAGCTCAAGTGCAGGGAACGGCTTGCGGAACTGGACAGCTTGAAGGCTAGGGACACGGAGATTGCAATGATTCAGGAAACGTACCTGGATGAGGTGAAAGGTGAGTTGTGCTTTTGCTTCATCGCAGCTCATGTTGGTGTTCATGATGATTTTTTTTTTTGTAGATTTGAAATTTAGTCTGGAAATGAAATCGGCTCAGTTGGACTCGGCCAAAGAACGATTGACGGAGCTGGAGCAGCAGCTGATGAAGCGTGACGAAACGATAACCCTGCAGAAGCGTATGCTGAAAACGGTCAAGGAAGAGCATAAAGAGCAGTTTAATGTAGGTTTGATTCGATTGACATACTGGAGTTCGCGATGAATTTGCATTTCTTTTCTTAAAGGCACTCGAGCGCAAATATCATGCACAAAAGGCAATCGTAATTAAAATGGAGGAAGCGATTCTGGAGCTACGGGTCAATACCGATGCCCGGTCGCCCGATTCCGATAGAACAGGTAACTTTTTTTTCTCCCGATACTTAGTTTTCCCTAATTGAACGATTCCCTTCCATAAACAACCAGATGCCGTCGGTTCGCTGGACCACACGTCGCCGCTGTCGATTTCGCTGGCCTCGAGCGAGGGTCTGTCGGAGATCAAGAACCTAGCCCTGGTGGTACAATCCGGCGGAAGCAGCAACCTGAACAACAACAACCACGAGCTGGACTCTAATCTGACAACGCCGACCAGTGCTGTGCCTCCTCCTCCGTTGGACAATAATAACGCGGCTGCCATGGGGCTGATGATAGCCGCCGGTAGGCCACCATTGCCTCCCTCTACCTTCGGTGGCCTGCAATCCAATGATCCTTCAAGCATTATTCCCGGACCAAGTCAGCGGCTATGAACTGTGGTGGTTTCCCCTTACGTCGCGGTATTTTGCCTTGTTTCGTTCCCTGCTTACCTTCCTTACCTTAATGCATATGCGCACCAGCCCAGGAGAAAAATACCGTTTTCTATTGTTTGTTATCCTATTGAATTGATTATTGCGTTGAAATCAAAACCTCTAGAGAAAAAAGAAGAAGAAAAAATACATTTCACCGAGTTCGAACTGAGAGAAAACGTTCGTGTTTCAGTATCGTAAAGATCGCTTTTTGTTTTTATTAAATTGAATATACTACAGCAGTGAAAATTAATAAATTTCCAAAATAGAAAGTTAATTTGGACACCATATTGCGTCTAGGGGAAAAGATGGCTTCGGCAATAGCTTTACCTCAACCTAGTCGTTCAGCGCTTAATTTTGGCCGATGCGATGCTCGGAGTCATGAAGTATCGTCGTGCAATAAATGGGCGCCCAAGTACCTTATTTACCCCTCTGACGATAATAGGTAAAGGTACTGCCGAAGACGTAATTTACCCTATCTATTTGGAGAAAAATAAATAATGTAAACATACTGACAAGACTGCACGGTGTCATCGGATAGGACTTACATAGGTTGCCGTCGTTTGAATTCTCAAATTGGTCGCTATTCGTGCCAGAGATCGGTTTAAATGAGTTACACAGAAAAGTAAGTAGAATTAGTTTGTTGATGAAGATAATTATTCTATTGATGGCAAAGAAAGAATGCTAAATTATCAGTTAAGCAGAAGAACTGCAGAAATAGAGGAAACGGTAAACCGAACGGAAGAGTGTGAAACCCACCCTTCCTGAAATTATGACTGCTAAACACCTACCAGCAGCAGTGGCAGCATCTAGCAGCAATTGTGGGGCAAAGGTACTACAGTGAGATGCACGAGAATTATAAGATTAAAGTGACGTTTATTGAAGAAAAGAAAAACATGTTTGAGTGGATGAGATTGTAAGTTATCCGAAAATGTCCCTCATTTCAATTGTGTGTGTGTGTGAACCATATCCCGGAAAGCCATTTCCTCACTGTTCGACTTGATTAAGTTTAATAACCTTTTATTTTTATTTAATATTGTTAAAACGAGTTGGGTGGATCGATAGGCACGGGACGATGAAGCATCTCCTTCCAGCAACAGGGTCAATAAAAGTCTTAAAATCACTAGTAATCTGTGCTCAAGAGAGCCTCTTGATAACATGCACTTCATGGATTGGTATCAGGTATATTTAGGTTATGGTAGGGCAATATGGGTGACGGGTCAAGATGGGCCATCTACGTGATTTATTTATACTTTTGATTGGCAACACTATCCCCCTTATTCTGCGAGTCACGTGACTCTCTGTCACCGGTAAGGTGACAATTGTCACCTCACCGGTGAGAGAGAGTCACGTGACTCGTAGAATAGGGGGGTATGTCTTTGGTGCTGGCTACGAAATATTTCGCTGCGATCGAAACACGAATAATAGTAGGAAAACTACTGGGGGAGGTGTCCTTATCCTAACTCCAAGCTGAAAGTAGAAGCTATCGAGGACGATTCCTGGAACACGGTTGAACAAGTGTGGGTGGCTATTCAACTTGGTGATCGTCGATTGCTTCTCTGTGCACACTCACCGATACACGGACGGATCTCGCTCTCGGGCCGGGGTCGATATCGGTCTAGCTCCATCACACCAACCAGCTGCAGCTTACCGCCGCAATGTTCTGTCTTCTCTGCAGAAGCTGCTGCCATCTTCATCGCTGCTACAACGCTCTCCAACCGACCGGTCCTGGTCCTCAAGGATTCGCACAGCGTCATACAAGCCCTGACATCCGAGGCCCCGACTCATCCCTGGGTACAGGCGACAATGAAGTCCGCGCCACCAAACACGGTATTCTGCTGGGTTCCGTGGTACTGCGGTATACCAGGCAACTCTGAAGCCGACTTTCTGGTCGGGGGGCAGGACCATCTGCCCCCCCCCCCCCCGCTATACTAACGAAGTACCGTTACACGTTGTCAAGTGCTGGATCGTGAGCAAAGTATGGGAAGCTTGGGACGCAGAGTGGGCTCAAAACCGCTCCCTCTTCATTAGACGGATCAAAGGCAAGAAGAGGAAATGGACAGAACAGTTAAACCAGCGGGATCAGAAGATAGCGTCGCGTTTGAGAAACGGTCACACCAAGATCTCGCACAATTTCGGTGGAACGCCGGTCCACAGGACTTGCGTCGGTTGTAGAACTCCAGCCTCAATCGAGCACATTCTATGCGTATGCCCTCAGTATCAGAACCTGCGGGAATTCCACGGGCTTCCAAATAGCATACGCGACATGCTGGGTGATGATCCCTCAACACTGGCAGCAGTAATGCGTTTTTTTTAAAGGATGCTACATTGTATTTTAAAGTTTAGTCTTTTTTAATTCCTTTCGGCTGTTGGGACATCTCTGCCTGGTGGGGGACCTCCCGGTTCCCCCGGTGTGGAGCTCTGTCTTATTCAGATTTTAATGTTGTGTCTTTAATATGTTGTGTAAATGTACGATCGAGCCAGGAACCAATTTTCGGTTGAAGTAAACACTGTAAAAACTACTCTGTTGAGGGTCCTCCTTCTGAGGTCCCACCTTTCATGGACGAGATGAACTAGAAAATCTCAAAAATAAAGTCTAAAAAAACTGCTTCTCTGTGCAGTGTACATCCCTCCAGATCGAACCCGTGACTTGGAGATTATTGACGCACATTGTTGATCCGTCTTGGTCGCTCGAGACAAAGCAGGCCCTTCCGACGAAGTTATTGTTCTTGGCGATTTTAACCTACCGGACATTGCATAAATTCCAACATAGTGGTTTCTTTTGTCCTGATCACGAGCGTTCATCTTTCCACGCAGGAACCATCCAGCTCCTGGACAGTTATAGTACCGCAATTCTGTCACAAATCAACCTGTTGAATGAAAACAACCGCATCGTAGATATCTGCTCTGTGAGTGCTCGTGATACAGCTCCTTTCCTCTCCACGGCACCCGAACCTTTAGTCAAGGAAGTGCATCCTCACCCTGCTTTAGTTATCGTGATCGAAAATAATATTGTCCATGATTTCATTAGCACTTCAAACGCTGTTTCATATGACTTCCGTAGAGCTGACCATCGCAGTATTGTCCATGTGCTGTCTAACCTAGATTGGGAGCATATTCTAGATCCTGTAGACGTCATTATGTCATTGGCATATGCCATTGACAGGCACGTTTCCAAAAAGATCATATCCATATCGACTCTCGCGTCCCGTGGATGACGAAAGATCTTCGCTCGTTGTAAAGAACTAAGAAGGCTGCTTTCTTTCAGATTTTTTTCTAAATTTCGCACACTGCCGCTGAAATGCTACTATGTCAGACTCAGCCACGAGTATAAGCGGTTAAGTCGTCTCTGTTTTCAACGCTATCAAAGGAGGATTCAACGGCGGCTAAAATCACACCCGAAATCCTTCTGGAACTTCGTGAATGAGCAACGCATGGAAGTCGGCTTCCTCTCTTCCATGATTTTTAATGATGAAACTGCTAGCAACCTAGTGTGTTTGAAGACGAGCAATTCCCCGCTAATCTCCGCTATTCTTAAAAAGAACATCACTTGTCTTTTAAATCCACTGCGCCGCATTTCCAGCTCTCTCTTTCCAGCGGCATCTTTCCGTCTTGCTGGAAGACTGCGGATATGTTTCCTCTTCATAAAAATGGAAGCAAATGCGACGTAAACAACTACAACTGGAATCACGTCGCTGAGTGCTGTATCAAAACTGTTTGAATTGGTTGTCATACACTCAGGCAACTAGACTAGCAAAATTCTTAAGTAGCGCCTGCACAAACATGCAAAAGCTAGAATTCATAAGGCAACTATGCTTTCCATATATTACCTATGATTATCTTTACAACAACGTAAGATTTGCTTACGTCATACATTGGATTTTCATTGACGCGGCTTATGAAATTCAATGCTGTCATTTGTGCGAAAAAGTCATATGACAAACATATGGAAATGCAAAAATGGCGCCTATCGTATAGACGAACTTAAGCTCATCGCAGATTTTCTGAACGGAGCACCTGGAGTGAACTTGGAAGTATTCCGACGTAAGTTAGAATAATTGTTTTCAATTTATTTAATTAATAATTAGGAGCGAAAATCACGACCATTCAATTACACTAGTTTACAACATTTTTGAACTCGGTAAGGTGATGATCATTTCCAATGCAAAATCCTACGCTGAATTCAATGCCGTGGTCAGAAAAAATTAAAGTAGAGCCATTTTTGAGATATACAAAAATTTTGATTTTTTGTATTTTGGACAAAAGTACGATTACTAAAATGTCAATATCTTTGGAACTAGTGCACCAATTTTAAATCTTTTTTTTTATGAAAATGAAGCTAAATAAATTTGCTATCGTTCACTAGAATGTTATGTCTTAATTAAAAATTTAATTTTGAAGTCATTTAAAAATTTACAGATTTTTTTTTTATTTTTCCTGCGAATTTTCCATAAAAATCTTGTTTTACTCAACATTTTTAATGGGATAAAAAGATTCAAAAAATCATTCCATAATTTATTCTTAAAGTCCATTCAAAACCGGAGAAAGTGAGCCTTTAATGGATGAAATCGGTTGGAAATTGTCGAAGTTATGAGCATTTTTGTAAAACACTTAAAAATGTTGCTGAAATACAACAGCTTTAGAGTTCCTTTTCTAGGTGTCGTTGTAAGCATCCAAATCGCATGTAAAGTTTTCATGGGAGATTCTTTTCTCTACATATCAATTTGATTAAGGCATATCAGGATTTAAAACCGAGTTGATACAAAAGAAATTTATTTAGGTTTTATTAAAAATGATTGAGAATCGAATGATTTTGTCTTCGATGTTTTGAACTTGTTTCTCGAATCAGAAACCAACAATAGTCACCCATCATTGCTTCATCCCAAAACCCTTGGTAACGACGTTCCATCATCTTCATTTGTTGGTGAAAACGTTCGCCGTGCTCATCACTCTCGTCACCAAGATTTTCCGGGGAAAAATCCATGTGAGAATGTAGGAAATGTATCTTTAAAGACATATTCACACCTGTGTTCAGTGAAATAAAAGGATTTGAAATTAATTATATGTAACAAACACAATATTTTTGATTTATACCTATTTCCTCATAATTTTTGAGCAATTCATCGACGGCTTCCTCATAATCTGGGCTTCTGCAATTTCCTAAAAAGGTTGTGACAACACGCTGGAACGATTTCCACGCTTCTTCCTCATCTGGTGTCAAAACTGTATTGAATGCGGAATCATTGAGCAGTTTTTTGATCTGTGGGCCAACAAATACACCTTCCTTTATCTTTGCGTCAGATAAATTTGGAAATACTGATTTCAAGTACTGGAATGCCGGCCCTTCTTTTTGCAACGCTTTGACGAAATTTTTGAATAACGTTGTCTTTACCAATTGTGAAATTATCCCGTTTTGGCCAATCTTTTCGGACGTAGTGTTCCTTACGAGCTCGACTGTCCCATTTACACAAAAAAACACATATATTTTGTGTATCCCTGTTGCAATCCAGTCAACATGGCAACCACTTTAAGATCGGAACAAATTTTCCAATTGTGTTGATTGTAATTTATCAAATTGAGCAATATAGCCATTGATTCATACGTTTCCTTCATATTAACGGCATGAGCTAATGGAATAGAAGGTTTCTCATTCCCTTGATGCAGTAAAACGGCTTTCGAGCT